TACAATGTTAGTGGTCACTCTTTCTTTCCCCTCCTTTGCTCACTCTACTCTCATCTTAAAACTAAGTATGTCATTTTTTAATTACATTTAAATTTTTAATTTCGAAAGCTTTTTCACAGATGTTTTATTTAGCATTTTTAAGCATTATTGCTCTCTGATACATGTGTCATTGTTCAAGAATATATTTTTAAATTATTGTTTTGTTGTTAAGTATGTCAACAGTAAAAAAGTAACTAGTGGCCAGGTATGGAGGCTCACGCCTGCAATTCCAGCACTTTGGGAGGCTGAGAAGGGCAGATCACTGAGGTCAGGAGTTCAAGACTATCCTGGCCAACATGGCAAAACCCCAGCCCTACTAAAATTAGCTGGGTGTTGTGGCACACGCCTGTTGTAGTCCCAGCTATTCTGGACCCTGAGACAGGAGAATTTCTTGAATGCAGGAGGCGGAGGATCGCGCCACTGCACTCCAGCCTGGGTGACAGGGCTAGACTCCATCTCAAAAAAAAAAAAAGTAAAAGCTAAAAATTATATTTTACAACTCTATGGCTAGTCCACCTGTAATAACAATAACGTTCTCTGATATTCCTTTACTTAGGATGTCCCTATTGAGATCATTTTTTAAATTTAAATATAAGGATTCTCTAGATTATTATTAGAATGAGCAATTCAGTTTTGTTTTTGAGCCTGTCTTGTACCCGGTTGCGCTAAATGTATAATAGTTCTCTTTTGTGGAGACCTTAAAACCCTAAATTTGAACACATGTTCAATGATAATAAAGATGTAACAGAAACAAAACAAAGCTCAGTATGGCCTGGATCTTCCATCGTGTCTCAGTGCTACTTACCAAACAGATAACTATTCCAGGGCAGCAGGTATCATCAAAACCTGCGCCTACAGCATCACCTATCTTTTGTTGTTAGTTCTTATGATCAAGTTAGTTACAGCATGGGAAGATAAAATCGGCCCCTAAAGAAAATGAGTTTCTCAAGGACATCCCCAAGCCATCATTAGCTGTTCAGTAGACACGTGAAGAGCACTAGAGAAGGCTGTAAGCTAAGGGCTTCGTAATTAATGTCCTTGGGCTGGCCTACTCTCCTAGTAGCCAATAAGAGGGCATGCAGGTAGAGTAAGTCATCCAAAAGTTAGTTTAGACATGTTCATTTAGATAGTTGGTCCTCAAACTAGAGAGTGAGACCTGTGTAACACAGCTTAAGAGGGCGTGCTCATGTATAGGGGCGATTTGGAATACAATGTAACAGGGCAAGTGGAGAGAGTAAAAGGTGAGGCAAGATTATCCTGGAATACTAGGAGAATTAATGAGATAGGAGCCCATATCTCTATGGCTATAAGATAAAGAGAAGATAGGGAAGGATTCTAAATGTGAAGAAATTTACTGCACAGCTTTCTCAGCTAAAACTTTGCTGACAGTTGCAAATATTCCTTAAACTGTCTAGAAAGTAGCACAAAGGCAAGCACTCTGTTCTTCAGAACAGTATGACAGACTATGAGAAAAAGAACAGGGGTGGGAGGAGGAACAGAGAAAATGGAACAGAGAAGGGCTTTATTTCTAATACACAGATTAAAGGGGACTGTTCTGAAATCAAAGTAACAAGGAAAAACTCTAAAACCCTAACATTTTCTGTCTGTATTCCAGTCAAGAGAATCTGACACTGAAAACAAAACAAAATAATCATAACCCTGATTTCTTTCATCACGGATCTCATCTAGTATGTTGGAAAGGGCCAAAATAGACACTAACAAGCCACAGGAGGACAAGTCCAATTCTGAGCCAAAGCCTGAGAGGACACTAGCGCTCAACTCTCAGACAAAATCATCACCAACAAAAACTGGTGGTAAATAACTTCACTTGAATCCCCAGTTCCTAACGATAGATCTTGAATGCTAATCAGTTCAAAAAAGACAAATTATTTGTCAGTTCTTAGAATATAGTTTCGAGGAACAGAATAAAGTTACAGTAATAAAACAGCTGGAAGGAGGAAATCCAGCATAAAAACAATAGCAGAAAATGTTTTTACACATACACACACACACAAAAATAATAATCAGCCTATTTCATATACCAAAATGCTTTAACAATATTATCTGTGAAAAAACTTAAAAGATAAAGTGCAACACTTTTCAAGGGACAGGTACCAGCATTGTCTTTAACCTTGCGTTCTGGTAAGTTCATGAATTACATACCACCCTGGCAAAACTGCCCTAACCTATAAGATTATGATAGAAACATTAAAATACTCCTAATCATATCATCAACTTCTAAAAAAGATTGTTCTTTCAGCTTACAGTTTCCTGCTTCAGCATCTATTATAGGGTTTGTGTCTTCATATAGGAGAACATTGATGAAGGTGTGAGCATAAATTTGGATTAAAATCCATACATTTTTAGATACTAAGATAGGAAAATTTAATTGTGATTATGTTTTTAAAACCTTTCTATCTACTTCAGATCAAATTTATGATTGAGATTAGGCTTTTACCTCCTCTCTAAGAACTTCAAACAAGTATGGCAAAAACAGTAGGTAAATAAGCAGCTGCTTTAATGGAGTATTAAGTGTGGTTACAGTTTAATGAACTAAAATAGGTGAATAAAAAAGGTAAAATGAATACATTATCCAAAATTCAGTTTGGCAGTTTCTTAAAAAGATAAACATGAAATTGTTGTACAACTCAGCAATTCCACTCATATATTTGTACCCTTTGAAAAGAAAATCTATGTCCACATGAAGATTTCTATATGAGTATTCATAACAGCATTATTCATAATAGTCAAAAGTGGAAACAATCCAAATGTCCATCAACAGATGAATCTGACGAATAGATATGCAAAACTGTATAACCATACAACTGAATATTATTTGGCAAGAAAAAGGAAATAAAGTACATGCTGTAACATGGATGACTTCAAAAACTTTATGCTAGGTGAAAGAAGCCAGATGCAAAACATCACATATTATATAATTCCATTTATATGAAATGTTGAAAAAGGGAAAATCTATAGAAACAGAATATGGATTTATAATATGTTTTCCTGCAGCTGAAGGTGGGAGTGTGAATGGGTACAAGGGATCTTTTTAGAATTACGGAAGTATTCCAAAATTGGACCATGGTGATGGTTGCACAACTCTATCAATATCACTTAACTGTACACTTAACATGTGAATTTTATGATATGTCCATCATACCTTGATAGAACTGTTTTTAAAATCCAGCAAGGTGCATGCTGTAACATTCACAAATCTTTTGATATATGCATACATCCATGTAACTACTACTCAGGTCAAGATAGAAAACAAAGCTCTCTTGTACTTCTTCTTAATCATTGCTCCTCACCCTCCTCCACAAGAGTAGTGAATACTACTTTGTCCACTATCATCTTGATTGTTTTTTCTAATCTATACTTTTTTCTATAATATACTTAAATTTCAATATAAAGGAAATCAACACAGTTATGTATCCTTTTATGTCTGGTTTCTTTTATTCAACGTAATATCTGTGAGACTCATCCAAGCTGATGCTGGTTATCAGTGGCTTATTCTTTTTTTATTGCTGTGGAGTATTCCACTGTATGAATATACCACAGTTTGTTTATAGATTCTCCTTTTAAAGGACATTTAGATTGTTTGTACTTTGGAGCTATTGTGAATAATGCTGCTAGGAACATTATTTTAGATGTCCATTGGTGGACATATTAACTCATTCTTCTTAGGTGCATAGCCAGGAGCAGAAATGCTGATTCAAAAGGGAAGCAAACATTTAGCTTAGGTAGAAACTGCCATAACATTTTCCAAATGGTTAAACAAATTTAAACTCCTACTAACAACGTCTAAAATTTCCATCTGTTTCACTTCCTCAACAGTAGTTGGTATTGTCAATATTTTTAATTTTAGTTATTCTGCCAGGTGTATAGGGGTATCCTGGTATGGCTTTAATTTGCATGTTCTTGATTTAAAACAAGATTGGGCACACTTTCATACATTTATTGGCCCTTTGGATATCTTCTTTGGTGAAATACCTGTTCAAGATTTTTATCCATTTTTAAATAAATTGTCTGGCTTTTTCTTATTGTTTATTCTGAATACAAATCTTTTATCAAATATATGAATTAAAACGACTGGTCCCCAATCTGTGGCTTGCTTTTTCTCTATCTTAATGGTGTTTTTTATACTTAATGGTGTCCATAATTTCAATGGAGTATAATTTATCAATATTTCCTTTTCTAGTTAGTGTTTTTTATGTTCCATATAAAAATTCTTATCTATCCCCAAATTATGAAGCTATTACATGTATTCTCTTTATTATGGTACCTTTCACATTTGAGTCTTCAGTCATTGATCAAATGAAGTTTTTATAATTTATTCTTAATTTATTTTTTAGAGATGAGGATTTTGATATTTTGCCCAGACTGGTCTCAGACTCCTGGGCTCAAATCAATCCTCCCGCCTCAGCCTCCCCAGTAGTTGGGACTACAGGTGTGTGCCACCATGCCCAACAATCAAATTAATTTGTATATATGGAATCAAGTTTATTTCTTTTCCCATAAAAGTATCCATGTGTTACACACTACTTATTGATAAAATGAGTCTTCTTATACTGAATTGTGGTGGCATCGTAGCCATAAATCATGTGTCCATTATACAGGGATCTGTTTCTGGACTCTATTGTGTTTCATTGTTCTATTTTATCCTTGGGAAATGTCACTGTCTTAATTACTAAACCTTTAGCGCAATCTTGAAGTAGGGAGTATTTTAACACACAATTTGTTTCAGAATTTTGTGAGCTGTTTTTGTAAGAGAGACAAATGCCAAAAATGAACTATCTTATATCCTATGTGTCATCATATATGTACTTCAAAGAAAATAAATTCCTTAACCAGTAGAATGAAAACCTGAATATTTTTCACCATATGAAGCCTACAAAATCTACAAAATCTCTTACATTAACTGCAAGACCCTGTTCAACTCTAGAAAGAAAACAACTTACCTGAGTAAGGTAGATGGTATCTTTAAATGTGCGTAATGGATCTGTGCTTTGGGGGAGTTTGAAATGAAGTCCAGCCTGATGAAGCATTTGTTTGTTACCATCTGCGTGATGTTGTCGATGAAGTGAAAACTTGCTATTGAAAGACCAGTCCTCTGTAGATGAGACCTTTCAAATAAAGAATAAGAATTGGAAATCTGAAAGTTGGCAGTAAAACTACTTTTCTCTAAGTTCCTGACAAACCTGAAAGTACCCTATACACTGGAAGAGAGCTCGAGGTGTGTTCTGCAGCTCCAGTTTCATAAATGTTTTCCCATCCTACTTGTTGTCAGTGAAGGACTAGCTTTGTGGAAAGTGGAATCACAAAACCAGGATTTGGTCCATAATATCCCCCCTTCCTCCAACTAAGAAAGTTATATTTTGGTATTTCTCTGAAGACCTTTGTTTTATGAAAACATATTCTTGGTTTTTGAGACATTCATTATATGTATTTTAAAATACCATTTCATCTACTTAAGTAAATATTTTATTTAGTATTCATTTGTCAAAACTTAATAATAGAATGCAATCAACACTCTCCTAAAACTGTTACAATTCTTAAATAGGAATAAAACACCTATTACACTATAATGGAATATTATGAGAGTAAATGCTTTAGCATTTATACCGCTCATTGATTTCTCAGTGATTACTAAATGAAACTGACATACATATGTTTAATTTTTATATGGTTGAAGATGCAAACCAAATAATGCTACTCATCTCCCCTAAAAATCAATCTTTTATTTATTCTTTTTACTTTTATTCTTTTTTAAAATTGTTTTGACTTTTCTCATTTTTTTTTAAAGAGACTTTCAAGGGTACCGCAAATCAAAAATCTTTTTTTTTTTTAAGGCAGGTCCAACTTATAGGATCTTTATTTTATCCCTTTTATCCTAACTTAAAGGATCTTTCTTTTATCACCAGTTCAAAGTAAAAAAAAAAAAGGTTAAAAAACTCATATATGTTGGATTATATCTTTCACACAAAAAAGAAAAAGACAGTAATTCTGGCTTCTATGCCTGTAATTTAACACACTGTTAGAACTTAAGAAGCAAGACAATTGCTGGCTACATCTGAAAATATCCAGAGTTTGAATTCAAGTTACACAGACTGAAAAAACATACTCTGCCCCTCCACTCAAAAACTTGAAAACTAAAAAAGCTTAATCCCTGTTCATGAAGCATGACTTCTCATTCCCAGTACTCAAGCAACACATAGGCCTGTTACCTTAAAAGGAAAAGGTTATTCTTCAGGACTGATTCATACCAAAATATAAGAAATGTACACTAGCTATACTAAATTTGGAAGTTTTTCACAATTATAGATGTTTTTCCAAAATGCCACCACCAGAATTATTTAGAGAATGCTTACTATTCCTATTATGTATTTAAAAGAGGTATTCACATTTACAATCATCTTGTATACATTTTAGATGTACATCCTTTATCAATAGTCTTCTTCCTAGTCTTCCTCCTTTTCATTTATTTTATTTATAGTTGTTATTTTATTTATTTATTTATTATTTATTTTTGAGACAGAGGCTTGCTCTGTCACCAGGCTGGAGTGCAGTGACGAGATCTCGGCTCACTGCAACCTCCACCTCCTGGGTCCAAGCGATTCCCCTGCCTCAGCCTCCCAAGTAGCTGGGACTACAGGCATGTGCTACCATGCCCAGCTAATTTTATGTGTTTTAGTAGAGATGGTGTTTCACTGTGTTGGCCAGGATGATCTCAATCTCCTGACTTCGTGATGCACCTGCTGCGGCCTCCCAAAGTGTTGGGATTACAGGTGTAAGCCACCACACCCAGCCTATGTTTATTACTTTTAATCGACACAGTAAGTGTACACATTTATGGGGTACCATGTATACCAATGTATACCTTATAAATTGCATACAATTTTATACATGTATACAATGTATAATGATCAAATCAGGGTAATAAGTAAATTCATCACCTCAAACATTTATCATTTCTTTGTGTTGGGAACATTCAAAATTCTCTCTTCTAGCTATTTGAAAATATACAATAAATTATTATTAACTATACTTACCCCAAAGTGCTGTAGAACACTAGAACTTATTCTTCCCATCTAGCTATAATTTCGTATCAATTAACCAACTTTTCTCTATTGCCTCTCCTCCACAACCCTCCCCACTCTCTAGTAATCACTATTCTACTCTACTTCTTCGAGCTCAACTTTTTTAGCTTTCACATAGATGTGTCCTTCCCCCTTTTCAAAGTCTGAAATACACCTTTGGGCCACACGGCCTTCTCATTTGTAATAATTTGAATCTATCCCATGATCAGTAAACCTGACCTTTACTTATATGGGAAGCTTTCCACCTTCTTATAACTATGGTTTGAAAATCTTTAAACTTTCAGCTATAATAATATTACCAGAAAGAACTGTAAAGGGCTAGGCAAAGTTTTAATTACATTAAGAATATTAACTTAGGGACGATCCAAGATGGCCGTTTAGGAACAGCTCAGGATTGCAGCTCCCAGTGAAAGCGCAGAGGGTGAGTGGACGCCGCGTTTTTATTGCCCACAGACTAGGAAATTCC